TGTAATGGCTGTAACGGGTGGATGAGACTCGTTAACCTTGGTCGGCAACTCATCTAAGAGAAGGAAACTCTGAATTCAAACCCGGAGTTAGAGTCCCGTAAGGCGCAAACAATGACAATTCCTGCAACCGAACCAATCCCTGGTCGTCTTGACGTAGAGTCTTGCCACTGGATATGGTGGGCTCGGACGAGAGAGTGAGGTAGACGCCGCGCAACTCTTCTTCACTTTAAACAAAGTCATCCGCGCAAGTCATCAGTCACCAGACGACTCGATGGTCCTCGTCGATCCTCGACGGACGAACAAACAAAAAAATAATGGCTCACTAAGGGTATATGCCTGGTTACCCATGTTGTAATGGCACACTAAGGGCATATGCCTAGTTACCCATGTTGTAACGACTCCTTAAGGGCATAAGCCTGGTTACCCATGTTGTAACGACTCCTTAAGGGCATATGCCTGGTTACCCATGTTGTAACGACTCCTTAAGGGCATAAGCCTGGTTACCCATGTTGTAACGACTCCTTAAGGGCATAAGCCTGGTTACCCATGTTGTAACGACTCCTTAAGGGCATATGCCTAGTTACCCATGTTGTAACGACTCCTTAAGGGCATAAGCCTGGTTACCCATGCTGTAATGTCTCACTAAGGGCATATGCCTGGTTGCCCATGTTGTAATGTCTCACTAAGGGCATATGCCTGCTTACCCATGCTGTAATTGCTCACTTAAGGCATATGCCTGGTTGCACATGCTGTAATGGCTCACTAAGAGCATATGCCTGGTTACCCATGTTGTAACGGCTCCTTAAGGGCATATGCCTGGTTACCCATGCTGTAATATCTCACTAAGGGCATATGCCTGGTCACCCATGTTGTAAAAGTGACTAGATGTTTTCAAAGTTTCCTTGTATTCCTGTTCTTCCCTTCCCATAACATGTTATTATTTTCTCCTGTTCAGACAAGGTCAGGGAAGATTTCAGATGACTTAATTGATGTCTGACTTTTCCTGGTGCATCGTACAATTCATAAAGTCAAGATTTCAATCACTGGCGTGACCGGTGGCGTCACTAGGGTTGGTGCCCCCCCCGGGCGCAATATACTCATGGTGTCATGAATTCCAACATGGATTTTTTTCTGAGCCCTCCAGTACCTAATGACCTACAGTAATGTGATTGAATTCCTAAAATCACATAAGTCATAAGAAGGAAACGACAGACTTTGGGTAAACAGCGGTGACGCACTGCAACACAGTTGCTACTACTTATATAAACATTACAGTTAAATCGCTATGTCCTGGTCTTCGAGCCTCAAACGTGTCAATCACATAACAAAAGCCAACGTCCTTCACCACACAGTTGATGGAATCGCACGATCAGAAACCTTTGTGCAACCCGAGGATTCCAGCCCTTGTGACATTTATAACTTAACCTGGAGCAGATCGTAATGTCAGAGCTATCAAATAAATTTCCAGATTTTCTAAAGTCTGACCCACCCCTCTTTAAATAGGAGTGCGATAGAATCACCCATCTCATTTCAACGTTCACGTTGAGGATTTATACTTATCTGATAACAGCAGATGTGTGGCCAGTGGGTCCTGTCTTCGGCGTGGTGTCAAGTGAGATTCCAGTGGGTCCTGTCTTCGGCGTGGTGTCAAGTAAGATTCCAGTGGGTCCTGTCTCCGTTAGGGTGTCGAGGATGATTCCAATAGGTCCTATCTCCGTTAGGATACACATGACAAAATCACCTTCTCGTAAATTGCTTGGACATCGGTAAAAGCTTTATGAGTTTTTTTTTGTCAAGAGTATATACACATACTTTAGTGTACATGTACTTTAATCTGGTTTTTTGCTCTTTTGGCACAGGAATCTGTCCATTGGTAGCTCTACTAATTTACACAAGAACCTGTCTACTGGTAGGTCCACTAATGCAGTGTTCCCCAAACGGGGGTCCGTGGACCGGCTCCGGTCCGCAAGCCTTACGTTACCGGTCCAGAGAGCGTGAATACTAATGTTTAGATAGAAAGAAAATGTAATGAATAAATCTGGCACTGGTCCCTGGTGCAGTTTCGAAACTTTTCTACCGCTCCCTGAAACTTAAAAGTTTGGGAAACGCTGCACTACTGTATACATTTCTAAAATTATTGATATTATCACAAATAGCTTATATTACCATTTCAGATGTCCATGCGTCAGATGGACCTCCTGTTGTTGAAGCAACTGATCAACATCAGCCAAACCATACAGAAGATTCAAAAGTCACGTGTCCTGAGAGTCAGCAAGTCTCTGTCTTTCTCCAGCAGCTACCTGCACCCTAAACCTTTACAGTCGCAGACACACTTCCACAGCTCAACACTGGAGAGACAGAACAGCGCCCCGTTCACCATGGAGAGGAAACGACTGATGTACCGTGACATGAGATCCAGTACAGAAAGTAAGTTGTTATCCATGACTGATGTACCGTGACATGAGATCCAGTACAGAAAGTAAGTTGTTATCCATGACTGATGTACCGTGACATGAGATCCAGTACAGAAAGTAAGTTGTTATCCATGACTGATGTACCGTGACATGAGATCCAGTACAGAAAGTAAGTTGTTGTCCATGAATAATGTACCGTGACATGAGATCCAGTACAGAAAGTAAGTTGTTATCCATGACTGATGTACCGTGACATGAGATCCAGTACAGAAAGTAAGTTGTTATCCATGACTGATGTACCGTGACATGAGATACAGTACAGAAAGTAAGTTGTTATCCATGACTGATGTACCGTGACATGAGATCCAGTACAGAAAGTAAGTTGTTATCCATGACTGATGTACCGTGACATGAGATCCAGTACAGAAAGTAAGTTTTTATCCATGAATGAATTCGGAGCTCGTCAAAACAATCCGTATAAAACTAATTTTAATTGTTGTTTTTTTTGGTTTTTTTAATTACTGAATGGTTAGAACATCAATTTATTAACTCAAATAGACGCAGGTCAAAGGATAAATTATAAATTAGATGAGATGAGCTAAATACTATAGTCAATGTATAACTTAGCTTAGAGGATAGCCACTGGCTTAGGAAGAGATGATGGGAGGGAGCAGTCCTCCCAAGGTAGAACTTTTTGAAGAGTGGCATTTTCGAGCAATTTCATATCTCTTATAAATAGTTTGCTTGTGGTGTGACTGCTTCCATTTTCGGATATAGCGCAAAATATAACTCGCGATAACTACGCTAAATGATTTTTTTTTAAATAACGCAACTGCGTTTGGTGCGTAATACTCTCTTTTCTTTAGGGAAAATGAAATGTTCCCAATTTATTTATGGTGTAATAAATATTCGGCTTTAAAGTGGTTTTGGACATCAGAATATCAATATAGCTCATGGGCGTGAAATAAAAAGTGTGCAGTGACGTATCATTGGGGGAAGGCATGCAGCAAAAATTGGGATTCTTAAATGTGAGTTACTTGAGTTCATGTTTTGTCAAGTAACTTGAATAGCTTGGAAGTCCATGCATTGATGTCGCCTATGTTTNGTTGAGCATACAACTCTTGCTTACTTCGTTAGCCTAGAAAAATAACGTTGAGCATACAACTCTTGCTTACTTCGTTAGCCTAGAAAAATAACGTTGAGCATACAACTCTTGCTTACTTCGTTAGCCTAGAAAAATAACGTTGAGCATACAACTCTTGCTTACTTCGTTAGCCTAGAAAAATAACGTTGAGCATACAACTCTTGCTTACTTCGTTAGCCTAGAAAAATACATTTGGTAAAGCTTTTTTTTAATTTTAATTTTTTTTTAATGACAAAAAATGCTTTTAAGGAAAAGCATAGAGAATGGGAATGAGAATGTTCAAGTACCTCGATGGGAACGAGGTTAACTGTTCTTCAAAATGTGAAGATATGGATCATCTCATAATACTTCATGGATAATTTAGTACTGCTCCCATAATAACAACAAATCATGTCAATGTGCTAAAAATTTTTAAAAAATTAATGAATATTGTCCCTTAAGAATGAAGAGATTAATTAATATTTCCTGTTTGAATGTTGTTTCTCCAATTATTGAAATGTGCCTTAACTTGGCTTGTTTTCACTCATCAATTTCTGTGAACGGAATAGTTTGGTTTATGTGTAATGATTGTTTCAATAAATAAACTTTGTTTAAACATCTTTGAAATATTGTGTTCTTTTAATTGATATCTCGTACATGTACAAAAAACATCAGTGGCATCTACATACTGTTACATGTTGTTGTTGTTGGTGGGTACAAATCAAATGATTAGAATAATCTTAAAATACAATACATTATAAGACTAAATTTAGAATTTTTATTTATCCTACATTGAAAGCTTGACTGGTCATCTCTGTTTAGTATTGTTAACGGTGATTGCAAGGAAGACAGTTGGACTGGGACTTGAACTCATACAAACCCATTTCAGTCATAAATTGCTCAGCTATTAAATGTCCAGTACTTCTGTCACTCCAGGGAAGTAAGAGACCTGGCCTGTGGCCAATGAAGCAGACATCTAATGACTTTCCATAACTTTCCATACTTATCGTCAATATAATAGATTCCTGGTTGGTTTTTTAAATTATATTATTCAATGTACTTTTTGTGTGAAGATAAAAGACCCTGTAGATATGCTCTCTGTGTTATCAAACAAAATCTATTTTTTTTAGTTTTTAAACATTTATAAAGGTCAAACAGTATGCCAAAGGTCAAACATTATACCAAAGGTCAAACAGTATGCCAAAGGTCAAACAGTATGCCCAAGGTCAAACATTATGCCAAAGGTCAAACAGTATGCCAAAGGTCAAACCGTATGGGCAAAGGTCAAACAGTATGCCAAAGGTCAAACAGTATGCCAAAGGTCAAACATTATGCCAAAGGTCAAACATTATGCCAAGGTCAAACAGTATGCCAAAGGTCAAACGGTATGGGCAAAGGTCAAACGGTATGCACAAGGGGTGTTTGGTATGTTGTTTTTATGTAATGATTTATTTCATTATTTACGGTACCGGTACTCACTATTTGCACAATCTATTTTAATTTGCAAGATGCCAGAATTACTTTAGGCAATGTTATCTACAAAACAAACACTACCCTCATAGTTTGCCTTCAGCTAATAAAAAAATGTTTCCTTAATTTTTTCCATTTAATCTGTCAAGTAAATCAATACCTTAATGGGCATAAAAGAACACTCATATATTTGTAGATTTCAAAGTATAAATTAACATTTTTATATTAACAGAACAGATCATTTATAAAGAACATGTAACTTATTCACATGATTTGAGATATTATGTTTGAGAATGTTATAATACTTCCTGACAGATCACAAAATAATTATTATACACGAGTGCTAGCGACCTGTTAAATACAAATCTCACTTAGATTTTTGGCAGGCTTAGCTTTATGTTAACTTACCACAAGAATAGAATTCAGAACCAGGGCGTTAAAAGGTTTGTTCCAGAGCTGTGACATCACACATTAATAGTGGAAGTTATCAACAACCAATCATTTCTGCAGGATCATGTTTGTTCCACTTATCCAAAAAACAGGTTTTAGGAAAACAAGATGCAAATGTTTCTTCATTTTCAGAATCTGTACTCATCTTAAACACAAAATGTTCATTACTGCTTTGATAAGATCAAACTTTCTGATAGAACAAGTCAACATATATGTTGACAGAAATGGTTTAGGTCTACTGTGGAATGCAAAACATTATGTTTGTAGTTTGAATTTATCAATGAACATTTGCTTTCAGTCATGTTGAATTGTTCTACCGACCCTGATATAACATTAGTGTAAGAATGTAGACCACAAAATATTTTTGAACAGGGAGTGAATAAAGAATATGTTTGGTGGTTATTTACCAAACACAACATTTAAATATTATAGGCATTGGGATCACCACAAAGTTGAACAGTCCAACATCACGGAGTTTCTCAATCTTTGATTTATTTATTTAGAGCTACAAATTTCTTTGAACATATTCAACACGAGGTTCATGCAGCAAACTCTTAGAAAACTCAGTAAGTGTTGTTTTGTAGAGTGCCTTCCCTTGTAAGGTTAATGACGACCCGGATGTGATCTGTAGAAAAGAAAATATTTTAAAATTTACACCAAGATGAAACCTTAGTTGATGGAATCTCCCTTTTTGAAATATCTTTTATATCTGCTAGGTTCATGTGAAGCTATTTAGTTTATATAAAATGAAAACAAATAAACTCATTGTCATCCTTAAACCCTTGCACACAATCTCTAATCCACTCACACACAACTGGAAACATTAAAATAATAAAAGTTAAATTATAATTAAGAAACAAAGAAAAGAGAAAAAAAAATGAAAAGATTCTCTACAACAAATCTTAATAATTATTAACCAAAGAAATTTTACCTCTACTACTACATAATCTCCTGGCTGGGGGTGCAGGTTTTCTGAGCCGAGAGGGATGCTAGGAAACACAACTCTTGTGTTGGCATCATTAAGTCCTGATAAATCTAGGGATGATTTCCTGCTTTCCTGGAGGAAGAAACATAAAAATGCAAAATTGAAAAAAATATAATTAAAACTAAAATTGCTAGCTCTCTACTTCGAGTTTCTATCTATTTTTTATTCTGGAGGCTCTGTTCCTCCTGTTAGTTAAATAATCAATAGCAAATTAAATCCGACACTTACCCCCTCAAATAAAACCAACTGTTTCTGACCAATCAGAAAATTACCCCATCAAATGAAACCAACTGTTTCTGACCAATCAGAAACTTACCCCCTCAAATAAAACCAACTGTTTCTGACCAATCTGACATTTACCCCTTCAAATAAGACCAACTGTTTCTGACCAATCAGAAACTTACCCCCTCAAAAAAGACCAACTGTTTCTGACCAATCTTACACTTACCCCCTCAAATAAAACCAATTGTTTTTTACCAATCCGACACTTACCCCCTCAAATAAGACCAACTGTTTCTGACCATTCAGACACTTACCCCCTCAAATAAGACCAACTGTTTTTTACCAATGAGACACTTACCCCTTCCACTAAGACCAACTGTTTTTCACCAATCAGACTCTTGTGGCGGATGTCAGCATGCACACGGTATCTGTCAAACAGTTCAAGGTGTCTTCTACTTTTCACATCTTTTGGAACATTATCTTGTAAACGATGATAGGCTTTTGTTTTCTAAAATGGTCATGGAAATTTCTGTTTTAGTTTTTAAATTGGTCAATATTTTTATTCAGGTGGCAAGAAATTTCAGACATTCTTAAAAATTGTAAATTACTCAATTTTTTTATGTTATCTCAAAAAACTAATTTTGTTAAAAATAATTTCTCCTAATGCTTTAAGTAATTTTAAAGCATTATGTCTGTTTTTAAGTGAAAAATTTTGCATGATGGACATACAACTACAACATTTTATTTGGGTTAAAATTTGCAATAGGCAAGGCAGCTATGCTTGAGAATGAAAACTTGAGTAAAATTGCTATCCTGTCTGTGGGTTACATAGATTCACTATGAACCTAACCAAAGCAAATATAGCATTCTGACACCAGGCCTAACTGGTACATTCTGATACCAGACCTAACTGGGACATTCTGACACCAGGAGTAACTGGGACATTCTGACACCAGGCCTAACTGGGACAAGACTGTTCACCTGTCTCATGCTGTATGGAAAACAGAAAGCATAATTATATTTGACAATGTCGATAAGTGACAATGTGTCCTGGTGAGCCTCCTCTGTCTCACCACAGAAGCCAGCAATGAAGTCACTGGACAAGCTGACACCTTGGAACAGCACAAAGAGAATAATCACAGCATTAGATAAAAACACACATTTCAATTATTACTTGATAACGCTTCTAACACATTAGAAAAAAAAAAGTTTGGCAAGTTAGTTGACAGGAGAAGCCAGAGATTTACCTGGCAAAATACTTCTGATGTGTTGGACCAACAGCAGATATGCCTCTCTGGTGTATCCCCTCCCCATGGAAGCCAGAACATCGGAGTTGCCACTTTGAGCAGGAAGATGAATTTGTTTGCAGATGTTGGGGTAGTTCAGCATAGTCTGCAGCACCTGACACATGATTATAAAATGACTGAAGTTAAATTTAATTCTATATAGTATAGTAGAATTGTATCTCAATTACTCAAACTAAGCCTTAAAAATAACTTTGATGGCTAAAACTATGTCAATGACTTTTTGATAATTTTAAACTCCTTCTATGCAACTACTAACAGACTCCTGATAATAAAAATGTGTTTTTCTTAAATTATAGTTCAAAATAAATCTTTGACAGCTTAATGAATGTTCCTATTGTAATGAGGGTTCCTGTTGTAATGAAGGTTCCTGTTTTAATGACGGTTCCTGTTGTAATGAATGTTTCTGTTGTAATGACGGTTCCTGTTGTATTGACGGTTCCTGTTGTAATGACAGTTCCTGTTGTAATGAAGGTTCCTGTTGAAATGAAGGTTCCTCTTGTAATGACGCTTCCTGTTGTAATTATGGTTCCTGTTGAAATGAAGGTTCCTGTTGTAATGACAGTTCCTGTTGTAATGACAGTTCCTGTTGTAATGACAGTTCCTGTTGTAATGAATGTTTCTGTTGTAATGACGGTTCCTGTTGTATTGACGGTTCCTGTTGTAATGACAGTTACTGTTGTAATGAAGGTTCCTGTTGAAATGAAGGTTCCTCTTGTAATGACGCTTCCTGTTGTAATTATGGTTCCTGTTGAAATGAAGGTTCCTGTTGTAATGACAGTTCCTGTTGTAATGAAGGTTCCTGTTGAAATGAAGGTTCCTGTTGTATTGACGGTTCCTGTTGTAAATTAATGTTCCTGTTGTATTGACGGTTCCTGTTGTAAATTAATGTTCCTGTTGTATTGACGGTTCCTGTTGTAAATTAATGTTCCTGTTGTAATGACGGTTCCTGTTGTAAGTTTATTTCTCTGTTTATGATTACCTCATCAGGAAAATCTTTTGGATGGGGTGAAGTGAATCTGATCCTCATTTCTGGGTTGACTTCTGCTACAGCTTTCAGCAATGCTGCAAATCTGAGCCCTCCAGTCTTGGGTTTATAAACAGTGCTAAATCCTGGAAGTCAATACAAATCAAGTTGATAAATGCCTGAAATACAATTTTACAGTCCATATCTAGCACATCATCTAAAAAACTCAGTGACTCAAATTTCAATGACTGAGTATGGATATGATAAGAAAGAATATTTTTAATGCCCCTTGTTCCAACATAATAAAGAATACTTTCAGCTTTTAAAGTTATGTCTTGTTTTCATCGACTTTCTTCATTTAATTGCATTCATGTTTATTGCTTGCAGCTTTATGTCTGTGTAAAATTTAACTAAGCAGACTATTAAGTTTACGAGACTAATGAACAAGCAATGAAAACAATTACATTATATTGAAATTTGGTGATTTGAGGATTAAAATTGTGTGTAACTGAAGATAATTTTTGAATATATTTATATAATCAATTATTAATACGTTTTTACAGTAAACAAAGCTTTTATTGCAAAAAAAAAATAATTGCTAAAGAGTAAGGTCATTATAAAACGAATCAACATGTTATACATAGTTTTGTTGTTATTTGATGCGGTCCATGACCAGGCACTGACAAGTATTACCTAGCCAAAAGATAGCTACGAATCAAATATAATGTAGGTTCTTACCTGTACTAAGTTGAGTAGACTCACTGTTTTGATCACCAGCTTCCATTGACAAATCTCTGTAACTGTTCACATTTTGTCCTAAAAGAGTTACATTTTTGACCCCCTGCACAAAACAAAAATATATGAGATGAAGACATGACCTAATTTGTTTTTTTTTCAATCTTTTCATCAGTTTATAAAAAAGAAATGAAACAATTTAAGTCTTTGAACTTAAACTGATCTTTGTTTTAATTATTTTTTGAAAATCTATAAAAATATGTCATGGGAAAACAATATATTTAAGCACTTTATGACCTGTTCAGATAAGATGTTAATCTCTTCTACAATTGAAGAAATCGGTCGACTCCTTTCACGTCCACGAGTGAAAGGTACGATGCAGTAAGTGCACATGTTGTCACAGCCTCGCATTATTGATCTGATTTAGTACAAAAAATGAAACTGCTAATAATGCAGGTAAATTTTTTAAATTATATCAAGCAAAATTTAAGCACAAAGATAGGATTCCTTTAGATTTTAGCAATAGTTTATCATTTTAGAAACTAAAATCAAATATTTTTCATGCCCATCACTTACACAAAAGCTGAAGGACTGTCTGAGTTAAGACGCACTGGCACAACATCTGCGTACGTCTCTTCCAAAGATAGTTGAACATTCACTTGGAGAAAAAATATAAATAAATTGAAATAAGGTACTCAATACACATTTTAAAAGTAAAGAGCAAAACTCATGAGAAAGTTTGGCTAAGTTTGTAACAATTTCAAATTTGTTATTAATTTATTAGTTTAAAATTTTATGGGACCCATAAAGAGACAGCCAATTTGCTTTGAGAAAATAAGTTTTTAAGTTTTGAGATTTTTTAGTAAAAAGATGTTTATTTATTCCATATCCTTAAAGATGAAAGGTCTTAACAGTTTATAAGGAAATCAGAAATTATAGGTAATCTGAGTTTCCTAATCAAACTGAATGAATAACCTGTTTCCTGGTTTCATGCTAAAAATAGTTATAAGAAATATACCTGCAGCTGCATCTGAAGTGTAAACCTCAGTCAGCAATCGAGGTAAGTCTCTGTAGGCATCGGGGCCACAAACTATGTCTACCATTTTTTCTTTTTCTAAAATTTTGTGCTTTAGACGCTCAGCCATACAACCTGAAATGGTGGTAAAAAATGGGCCAAAAGTTGAGATGACATTTTATGGAGTGTTCTTAGAAAACATGGCGCAACTGGTATCAGAAGTTATTTTCCTTTTTTAAGATCCATTTAGCATTTTGAATGCTTATTAATTTTGTCAAAATTGTAATTTTCACTAAAAAATAACACTTTAAAAAATGTCTAATATCAGACAAAAAAACGTTAACACCAATTAAATGTAAAATGGTCAATATGTCACAAATTACTATCTATTTATAATTAATCAGTGCCACTAGATGATATTTTATAATGAAACTTAAATTTCAAAGGTGTGGAGTGCAATATATAATAAAAGCAGGTGAAACAGTTGGAATAAAAATTGATTGAATCTTTTTCACACAAAAAATTCTGACTACTAAGCTACTTATTTTCAGATATTCATTACCAAGAATATCATCACAGACTTTCTTCAACCTTCTATATTAACCATTGAGACAATATTATCAAGCATTCCGTAAAAAATGTTGGCAGAAGGTATGTCAATTTGTATTCATTAAGTGCTGCAAAGTAATTATTTAATAAGCTAAAAAATTGTATACAGACTTTTCCTCTTACCTAAGATCCCTAACTTCAGTGGGTGCTTCCTGCCTCTCTTCACTTTTATTCCTTTGAGGTTTTGCAATCTAGTCCAAATTTTCTCTTCTGCACCTTCACGTATTGCACAAGTAACTAACAGCACCACATCAGCCTATGATGTATAATTTGTTATGTTATATCAGTCAGTTTATCTTATTACTTTAATAAGTGTTTCATTTATTTAATTTATAAATTAGATATAATTTTTTTATTTAGCAAATGTTCTAATACACATTTTTTGGTTCTAGATTTCAAATTGTATAATGCTTTTTCTTGTATGTATTTATTTAGGTGCTCTTAATTATATTTCAAATACTTACAATTATAGTCATATAATGTATTTATGCCTTTTTCTAAAAGCTCAGATTCAGTCACACAAAAATTACTGGGTGCAGGGCCAGATTTACATATTTCTGTGCCAAATGACATACTTCTGCCCACCCCCTCCCTGCTAGACGACCCTCAGCCCCTCAAAAAAATGAACATTTTACTTAATTTTATCAATAAAATGGGTAGTAAATCTAATTTACAAGAGTAAAACTTTTGATTTGTATTTATAATATTATATTCCTTAGAGGTCCATTATATGGGCTGTTAACACCACAGCAGCCATAACGGCTGATGATAAGCTGTTATGACAGTTACCGAGTTAAAAACAATTTACAAAACAAAAATAGCTTATATAACCCATAAGAAGCACAACGATTACTTCTAAACACGTATTCTCAAAGAACCTGTGCTCTTCAATACAGTTCTTATTGAGAGTTCCCAAAGTGGAAGGATACAGAAAGAAGTCATATGGTGTGCACTCTTTTGAAGCTATAGTACCAAAATTATGGAACAGTTTGCCTCAATCTTTTAGGGAAATTGAAAATGATTAGAAAATCCTTTAAGAAACATTTAGAGACTTTTTCTTTAAATAGATTTTAGGACATTAGAGCACTATGAGCATGCTAAAGTAGCATGGATACAAGCGCTATAAAAGTATTTAATCAATGAATCAATTCTTTTGTTAGTTAAAATTATTCAGATAGCCTATTTGATACAAAAAAACAGCAAATAAAACTGACATAAAATGCAAAAGATTTACATCGATTCTCTTCTGACATAGAACTTTATCAAAATCGTTTTCATTATGTGTCACTATTGTAACACCGAATCTGAAATATTGCTTTAAGATGTGGTTAACACTGACTGTATGAGAGAGAAATAGCAACTGATTTTTGCCTGTGACTGTGCAAAACAGCACACGCTATAGAGATAAGTCAGCGCAAATGTAACCATCAATTTATTTAGTGTATATGCTTGTTAATTTCAAAATAATACTGACAAATTTGAAAATATTTTGATTCTTAATTCTTCTGTATATACACCCTCCACCCCCTGCCCTAGGCCATGGCCCAGGTTGGCCTTATGGGAATTCCAACCCTAACCAGGTATGACAAATGAATTTAACAACTGAATGAACTATTCACATTTAAATATATAATTTTTTTACTTTGGATTAACCAAAAAAAAAAAATTTCTCAAAATAAACTAAAGCTCTTTTATCGATAAAACACACAATTGTGCGCATTCCTCATCAAAATTTCTATTGCCATTTAACAATCACATCTAGTGTTAAATACAATTTGAATAAACAATGGTGAGATAGAATTTTTGATATATGATATTGTAATTATATATAATTTTAGAGTAATCACATAATTATTATCACTTCACCTCAGTTATATTTGAAGCTTTCTTGAAACCATTTTGCAGCAAAATACTCTGTGCTATTTCAGTATCATTGACATTCATCTGACAACCATAGGTCTCAATAAATACTGAAAAAAATTAATTTATATCACAAAGGTGGGACAACATAATAGGAAAAATGTAAATTAAGAAGTTATGTCATAAAAAACTGAAGCTGAGACTTGATACACCATGCGAAGATGCTTGCCTGGCTCCCCACATATTCCTAAATGGCCTGAAAAATATATTCAAGTTCAGGCCAGCAAGACATTTCATCACCATCCTTTGAACCAGGGATAGCCAAACCACAGCCAACCACCCTCCATTATGTGGCCCATCTGATGCCAGTATTAACACAAATAAATTTCTTTCATTGTTTTATATATATATAATATATATTATAGTAATCGATTTTGTAAAAGTTGAGAGAATAGATGAACAAAGAAAACAATTTTATTTATTTTTTTTTTTCATTATGTGCAATAAATTAATTAGACACGAACAATTTGTGTCAATAAAACAATATATGTTAAGCTTTAATAATAATTTTACATAATACTCAAGTAAACGTTTCGGCAAATGCAGCCAGAAATAAAGGCCTATAAGACTAGTAAAATTCTGTAACATTTATAAAATAATTACTATTAACCAGTTAACCTGAAAATGAATTAATATTTCAAAAGTTTCATATTTTTACTTTGAAAGGAATTTTTTTTTTTTTAAACAGTTCAGTCTGCAAGTTAACCTGCTTGCCAACCCACAACCCATAAGTTTTGCACATACCTGGCCGTTCTCTAAAAACTTTTTTTTCCTTAAAATACCTACAACCGATTCCTTGGCATTTGGAAAGCTTAACAAATGTTGTTGACTTGACTAACCTTTTCTATTATAGCCTTGGAAATGATGGGCCCCAAGGTAAGATTCATCTTCTAATACAATGTCTGTTCCATCATCACTTTCTTGCAATGGCAGTGAAACGCCTGATAAAAAATCATTCAATCCTGGACCCTGCTGTAATTGCTTCTTCTGAGTTAAAGAAGAGTTAAAGAGGCCTTTGTCATTGTGCCGACGATTGCATGTTGTAGAAACATTTCTAACAGAAGTGTCATGAAAAAAGTAAAGCAAATTACTATTTGGTGGTTCATTGTATGATTTTCTGACAAGTCTTGGTGACGATAATGCAGCAAGTTGATGCATTTGGATTACTGAGAAGGTTTTGCAACATGCTTGACTTTGAAGTGGTGTTAAAAATTGGCCAACATTTCTACAGAAGATCAGACTTGCCATTTTAAATAACCTGGAAAAAAAAATAAAAAATAAAAATTTAAGAGCTTAACTACACATAATAAGGATAAGTGAGCAATAAATTCAAAACTGCATGTAAATAAATAATATTTGAATTAATTTACTTATATAAAAAAAGGTTATGGCATAAGACTTCATAAACATTTAAAATTTTTAACACAAATATTTAATTTATGGAAATACTTGACTTTTTGAATTAGAATCATCAGCTTGTATTGTAATTAGAACACTGTTTTACAAAACAACAAAAATATCAAAATTCTTTAAAGGTAGGTACTTACTTTATAAATTTAATACACTACAACTAAAGGTCAGATAACTGCCAATCCCTTTAACTTTTTCTATTTATTACTAATTTCAGGTTTTAACCTTTCATTTTCTGTTTAATGTATTTAATTAAAATTATTTCAATATAAGTGAATTTTTTAAGTTTTACACTGTAGACAGTGGAGTCATTGATTTGTGACCAACACAATCAGGAAAGTACAATAATCGGGAAATTCTTCATGGTTAAATTTCACCAAAAAGTTGTCCAAATTTATTTAATTTTACTGAAAGAGGAACAGAGTAGGCTACTGATATATAATTTTAATTATAGACTGTAATATATTTTAAAGAAATGTTAACCGGAATCTTTTTTATGAAGATGTGAATTGTTTAGAAAAAAATTCATTAGAATTGACATAAGTTGGATGTGCCTGAAGTGGGGTGGAGTAACATGTCATTTGTGTTTTCATCCAGTGTACAGCCTAAGTAAAACAAAAAACTATAACTGAGAAATCAATCATTAAAGACTATTTATTATCATTAGACTTCATGATTGTTGACATTATATTAAATAGCAAATACAAAGCCTATAGTATTTTATTTATTAATTATTGAAATTATAGTGTCTCGAGAGGAAGGAAAAGAAGTCAGTGGTAAACAAAAGACATGCTAGGGTAGTCCGGATAGAAAAGTAGTAAAGAATTAGCAAGATTAAAAGAAACTACATAGATGACTAGAGTCAACAGCAGTAAAAGCAGCAAGAAAATGAAACATGAAAGAAGTATGATAATTAGAAGAGAACATCACATCAAAGATAATGAGAACAGAAATTACATTGATAGAAACAACAGTCAACATTGAACATGCTACACTTAAATAATTACACCCTCTATTTGAAAAGATCTGGGGAAAAAAGAGAGTACCAACATGGCAATGGCAACAGTATATTTAGTATTACTAGCAGGCTTTTACTATTAGACGTAGTATATCTTATGAATATGCTTTATTATCTGATTCAGGGGTGATGTTTTAATTTCAAGCAATTACGTTAAATAGACCTCTTCTATTATTAATAAGATGACAAAAATCTCAGCTTTTACTATTAGACGTAGTATATCTTATGAATATGCTTTATTATCTGATTCAGGGGTGATGTTTTAATTTCAAGCAATTACGTTAAATAGACCTCTTCTATTATTAATAAGATGACAAAAATCTCTAAAAATATAATATATGTAGGGTAATTAGTAATATTACTTTTTATTTAAGGGTTAAGTTTTTTATAGACCTAATATTGAATGAACTTCCCTTGTTTAGTCGTTATAGTTAACTTTTATTTTTTTTATATTAAAATGCTGCTGGAATGTTTTTGATAGATGACTTGAGTGTCAGCTATAAAAAAAAATCATGTTTTTCTGGTTTGCATTGCTACTTAAACACTTATTGTTTTATTGATAAGATTAAATTCTTTTATTGATCCCAATTGATGGAAATGTTTTTTATGACGCGACATATTAATTTCAGCAAATATATAAAACACAACATTTTTAAAATAGAAAAATTGAAACAATTTAATAATTTTTCAAACAGAATTTTTTTTTAAATTAACTAATTTTTCAAAAAGAAAAATGTAAACAATTTAATGTATGAAAAGAAAACAGAATTTGAGTTTATATTATCTCCATGAAAACGATTGCAAGACATGAATTCATGCAAATATGAAGGGAAAATATCGCAGCATGTGCCAAACTTTGCAACATATATCCTAAAGTCTCTGTGTGAACGCCTGCGCTATTTAGATTGACAAAATTTTGTGGAACAACGGAGTGTTCATAAATTCTGATCTCGTTTATGTTTGTATAAGCCGCCCATCCGTCAGGGTTTGATACAATAAGTGAGCCTGGATGGATATATCTCACTATGTCCTCCTGTAACGTGATCACACGTCGATGTGGCACTTCAATAAGTATAAGAAAGCAGCACTAACTCTCTCTTTTTATGTTTCCAAAAACCCAGTGACCCTCTCCACTGTAATATTAATGGACTTCAATAAAAGAATAACCCTTTAAATGGCACTTCAAACAGGAACAACACTATTTTTTCATATCCGACGCTGGAAATAGCAGATTACCAAAAGTGGTAATTGCAAAGAGATGGCACTGTGACGTAACACACAGATATCTTTTTGTATTGACCCTAAAAGTAGTACCTAATTGTAGCCACTTTGATGAAAATTTCAAAACATTTTTAAAAATATAAAAATACTACAGCTGTATAGAGCCTGGAGAATAGATTACAAAAACACCAAGATCAACTTTCTAGCTCAAGTGGTTCAAAAGTTATGAATTTTTTAGTAGATAAAAATATAAAAATACTACAGCTGTATAGAGCCTGGAGAATAGATTACAAAAACACCAAGATCAACTTTCTAGCTCAAGTGGTTCAAAAGTTATGAATTTTTTAGTAGGGACCTCAAAACCACTTTATTACTATGGGATTTTCCTCAACATTTTGTGACCCTCATTTTGCTTTTTTTTTAACGCCTATAACTTTATTAAAAAATGAGACAAAAATATAATATTTACAGGGAACATAGTTAAATAAGAGTACTTCTAAATAAAGCCACAAAATATAGGTTAATTTTTGTTAATGTGCCGCAAATATTTAAAAAAAAAACTTTATTATTTGCCTCTTAAAAAATGTATAAAAATGCTGACTCGTCACTTATTTGTAATAATTAATTAAAATTTTGTTTTAATTTTGTTTTTAATTTCACAAAAATCATAATAATAATAATATTTTTTAGATATTAATTGCAGATTTTCTGGGGAATTGTTTAGCATTTATAAGCATAAACAAATAATAAAGGGATTATTTATTTTATTTGTTTAAAATTGACAATTACACTTTTTATTTTACCATTTTCTACATATGTATACCATATATTATATTATTCCTATGAGTATGACAAAACAATCAGCATGTCATTTATTTTAAGTTTGTAGTCTTGTTTTACAAATCAACATGTATTATTAGAATAAACTTTGACTGTAGCTGTTAATAAAATAAGTTCTAGTCATTTACTAAGTCAAGTGTGTCCACTGCCTTACTCAGTGATCCACTTCTAATCCCCCGACTTCAAAGGACAACCCCTATATTCCGAGCGCTCTGAGAGAAAAAAAAAAGAAAGTTGGGGGGGGGGCTTGCGCGTAATAAAAAATCTAGTATTTCATTCTTTTTTGTGAATATGCTTACAGTTTGAAAATTTCGTTTAGCATACTAGCTCATAGGTGGCTAAAAATCTGGCATAGGGTGAAAAGAAAAATACAAACAAATGGGGCTTTCTCACTTTGGTTGGGGGATGTTTAAAGACTCTTTAGAAGTAAAAGAAAAAGAAAAGATTTAATTATTAAAGAATACACGTAATGATAAAAAAAATTTAAAATACGAAATGCGTTAAGAAATAATATACGCACCTGAACTGCACTTTTACCAATTTGAATGTCAATGTACACTACTAGTACAGTGTAGGTATAGATATATAGTTATAGTGTATACTGTACTATACAAAAATCAATAGATGGCAAGTGAGAGGGGTAGCAGGGTAGCTATAAATTTAGCCCTTTACCAAAAATTAAGTCACGGCGACTAAACAAAAATACATGCCCTCCACATCAAAACAGTAGAAGAAACACGGAAACGCTTTAGCCTTTTCTACTTTCAATATCTTTGAATGCTATTAATAAATTGCCATGTTGCATTATTCTTGTTTCAAACTACTCACACGTTAAATGATGGTTGTGCGGTAGGCCTTTTTATTGTGCTTTTAAATATTTAATTTAGTATAGTATATTGGCTAGTACTTTAAATATTCTGAAATTTTCGTCGCGTATAATACCCATGAAATGCACAGAGCAATTGAAATAAATTTATAACAAGCAAAATGATTATTTTTTAATGGTCGGAGTCATCCTGGCGATAAATATAGTTTCTGACATAAACGGAAGTATGAATCCCGAAAGTATTGTAGTTTTGTATTTCATTGATTCTTTCCCTTTATGTATATACTTTTTTTTCCCCATTATGAAATTGTCTCTGCCTCAAAAGGTTGGTATCATCAATTACGTATATTAGTATGTGGACATATAACTGATGATTGAATTTACAATAAAAATACTTTATTTTGAATGAACATCTGACTCATGCCAGAAAAGTATGCCTGTCTGATTATCTGTCTATTTTTATTATTATTAGTATCATCTTGCCGACTGTGCAGTGAGTGTCTCTAGACTAGAAGAGTACAACTTCAGTCAGTCAGGGAACTAGTGGTGGACTCAATTTTCAATTCTGTCAACTGAACTACGCTTACACTCTGCGCTGACTGATACTGATACTGAAAACATCAGAGAAGTAGAAGTCACAGAGTGGGGGAGGGCTGCTAAAACACCCATTTGAGCACAAAAATTGAAGGCGACAGACGTATATTCATATAACTATAACATAATGTTTATTGCCTGTATTGTATCTGTATAATATAGGCATAGTCCTATAGCTCTACTATATACTTGTTACTTAGTAATGATAAATTAATTATACCTTATCCTTACTAATACTGCTGACAATTAATATTATATCAAGTTCATGAATAACCTCAATAAAGTCTTACACTGTTTTACAGAAATACTAATTTTCATTGATTTTAATTAGTTATAGTATAGTTGTTTTACTTAACCATAAACTGTAATTTATTCTTAAGATTGCTAATCGATTCCGCATTGACCTATCCATATATGTTGCTGGTGGTACTTTAAGGTTTTCCTGGGGGTTGGTAAAAATGCTTAAATTTAAAGGTATGTAATGTAGTATGTTCACTTATTACTTTGTTTCTTAACTTCCTGTGACCACATGCTACCGACTGCCACAAAAATGGGGCCAAGTTTCATTTTCACAGGTTTGTTGAGAGTTGCAGTATAATGTTGGCTCCCAATACAATACCATCATATTTTATCATTGTGCATCCATTATTGCCATTATCATTAGCTGACAGCATAGCAGCCAGTAGAAAATGGAGTGGTAAAAAAAAAAAATGATGAATTTAATATCAGCTGACTTATTTACAAAATTTAATTATAAGTTGTATTTGATAGTAGCCATATTTTGTATTTCAAAGATTAAAATTTGTGAAATTGATTTCAAGTTTGATTTTATGGGAGTGGGCAAGACAAGAAAATATTTTAGATGTACAAAGTCTTTTTTTAAAATATAGACGGTATCAAAAGATTTTTTAAAACTTTATATTTTAATTTTTCCTCGCAGTTGGTTGTTATTTGTAAAATTATTTAAAAGAAAATAGCTGAATTTATTTATTAAAGAGCAACAGGTCTATGACAGTTGCGCTAGCACATAAATTTTAAATTGATAAATATGAACCAAATTTCTGAATCTTATGCCATAGTTTTGCCTGCTCGGTGTTATCACCTACATGGGATATCTCTGTCAGGGGGTTCTCAACGTTGATTCACCACTGACATTTTTGGCTTCAACAAATCCTTTAAGCATACAAATGTCATTTTTTATACCTAACAGCATCAGTTATTTTTATTTCATTTAGGTGAATCTATAGTTATAAAATTTTCAAAATATTTCGTAACTGTCATCATTTACTACCGGTATAATATTATTTTTATATTAAATAATGTGTCTCTACAAATATGTAGTGAAACCATCCATCCATCCATCCCTGTGCCGCTACAGCCCATGTAGGGCTTTGGCCTGCCTCACCACTTCCTTCCACTCAGACCTAACTAATGCCGTTCTTTTCCATGCTTGGACTTTCAGCTGCTGTAGATCTTTTTCCACATTATCTATCCACCTAAGCCAAGGTCTGCCTTTGAGCCTTTTTCCTCTGGGGTATTGGTGATGCACCCTCTTCATTCCTTTGTCATTTTGCATTCTCTCTAGGTGTCCTGCCCAGTGTAGCCTGCCTCTTTTTATTTCTGCCACTATTGTGGGATCCTGATATAGTGTATAATTCATGGTTGGTTCGCATTCTCCATCCATATTCATCCTTTGTAGGCCCATATATTTTCCTGAGAACAAGCAGTGAAACCAGTTATACCATTAATTAATTATTTGTTAACATGGTTGTATCTTTGCTGCTGCTGCTTTTTTTATTATCCCAACGCTTGTTTAAAACTATGATAAATAAGCTGTAACTTATGTATTTTTCAATTTCTGCAATCAAATTTCCCTAATCCAATGTTAGGCTAAAAAATACTGTGATCCTCACCTATTTTCCAGTTAGGATTTACTTCCTCATACAATTTAAATGTCATAAAATCTAGATCTTGCTTTTAACCGGCCTCCATAATTAAGGCACATAATATTGATATTAATACATTCTCCATCACAGGGTTTTAAATGGAAAGACATCAGCTTATTTTGGCATGCATTCCAGCATTCATCAATGGAATTTCAAATTACTGCTTTCAAAATTAGATTAACAGCACAATGAACTTGGGAATGATCTTTTCATGATGTGGAAAAAACTGACACCACTTGCCTGAAGTTGAATCCTTTTGAATTTTTTAATATGGTGATCCCTATGGGTTAATTTCCGTAGTTAAAATAAATCGCCTACACTATAAAAATCTTTATACCGGTATAGATTATTATTTTATGGGCTGTTTGTAAAATACTAGGGGTATTGGGGTAGTGGTGTGAAGAGAGTGGGAGTCAGAAAAGGAGATGGTTAGGGGTATTGTTTACTTTTAATTGCATGATTAGTTCAAAAAAAATCTGATCTCTCAATTCAAATAGTCCTTATCTCCTGTTTCATTTTTTATTTTCAGAAGAGACATCACGAGGGATTAACAACATCAATAAAATAAATAAAATGACATCTTTCTTGAAAAAGTAATAATATATGAAGTGGCTAATTTGTTAATGTTCATCAAAACTAATAAGAAAACATATTTTTCTAGAGGTGGACCTAATATTGACTTTTTTTGTTGTTGTTGACAAAATTGTTCATATTTTGATAGGTTTGCATTACAAATGGCTGAACACATTCTTATTTATCATCACTTAGTTTTAGCACCTACTTAAAATGAAAGATCCAGATTTATAATAATTGTACCAAGTTGTGAATCTTCGGGTCAAGTCCTCAAATATTAACATTAGTAGTTTTAGATAAAAATTTCTAGATTTAAACAATCATCTTGCTGTCATCATGTCATACCAGCATGGCTCCGTAGAGTCCATGGATGATATGGATCAATTGTGTGATGAGATGGAAAACCTAACAGAAATGGCAGATGTTGATGATGTACCATCAGCACTGATTATAGCCAACATAGATATCAGTGTCTTTGAAGATCAATCAGCACAGGTACGGTAATTTAAGTTAATATCAGTGTTTTAATTATTTTTGTTTTGTTTTTTTTTTCATTATATGAGATGTATTAATATGAATTGTAAAAATTTATCTAACCTTGTATGTTGGCTTATTAGCTTTTTTAAATTTTAAAATAATTATAAGTCTGGGTATAAACTTTTTAAATAATAAGATTTCTAACAAATTAAGGTTTGTTAGTTTTTTAAATTTTGTTTAGTCCTGTACCCTGTAACTTAACAGGGTAATTTTAAATTCCAAATTGTTGTATATTTTACAACTTGTGATTTTACAATTTAGCAAGTGATTATCATATAAACTTTCAACTCATTTTGTCCAGCTGTATACTAAGGAGTTTATTGGCATTTAATATCTTACAAACAGAAAACTAGTTCAAAATCAAAACATCTTAAACTTGTTACTTGTGTGGAGACTTATTTTACTGAGTCATTTGTATTTAATTCTAATGAAATTCGTTATTAACTTTTCATTGAAGAAATTTTGCATTTTACAAAATAAGGCTATATATATTGCATCTTTGTCCTTCAGTTAACATTTGAAAACATATTCAAAGAACTGGACAAAGAAGTTAGCTTCATATACTTAAAGAACTTTAGAAGGGCACGGCTACAGTTTTCATCTTCTGATTTTGCATCTGTGGCTAGAATTCGTTATGATGGTGTATCAATCTGTGGGCAGAGCATCAAATGTTACTTTGTTCAGGTATGAAATCTTGGGTAGTGGTACCGATAAATATAATTTCTTATAAGATTTCTTTTATTGTAGAATACTATTAAATTTGCTTTGCGCATGACTATCATCCCTTGGTAGAAAATGTTGCATCCTCTTTAGTAAATTTCAGCTTCAAAAAAAAAGCAGCTGAATGAAAGTATTTTTTTTCTGATCTGTAAATAACATAAATGTGTTTACCTTTGTATTTGTAAAACTATACTGTATTGTAAATTGATCTATATATTTTGCATTATTTATTCTCTTGACTGTGGAACCTCTATTTTCCTAATGAATGTGGGACATTTTAACATATTGACACAAACTGTTACAAATTATTTTTTTTTAAACTGTTCATTGAGATCAAAATATATTTTCCTTATTCCTTCCAGCAAGTGCGTCAACAGAATTCAGACAACACACATTTACAGCCACCAGCACCACAAAAGATGTTTCTCATCTCTCCACCAGCATCTCCTCCAGTTGGATGGGAACCTGTCCCAGAGACAGAGCCTGTAATAAATTATGATCTGCTTAATGCCATTGCTAGACTTAATCCAGGTAATAGAAAACAGTTACTTGTGCATCGATAAACTTCTGCCTATTTTAAGTAATAGTTTAACAGGATAAAGAAAGTTTGTATTATCATCTTGTGCACCTTTACATAGAGCTTTTAGAATGTAAACATAGCTAAAATTAACTTTATTCTCATTTTAAACGTTTTCTTAATTTTCACTTTGGAACAGTCATTTTCAATTTAAACATTATGCTATAACTATTTAGTTCCAATAGTAAGGAACATTTTAAAAACTTTAATAATGATATGCACTAGTCAGATTTTTATACCAGCTGTGCTGCAAGTGAATGTTTTTAAATTATTATAGCTTGTATTGCTCCAATTCCTTTATTTTTTTTAAAGATAGCTTTACCTATTGAATAGTGTGCTTAAACTTAGAACAGACAGCAGGCAACATTTGTATTAATGTTTCAAACAGTGAAGGGACATTACATTTACTTTTTACTTCCACATTGTGGTTAAATAATAAAGGATCATAACCTCCAGATTTTTATTGAAATTCAAAAATTGCGTTTTAAAATGTAACAGAATTATTTTATTGTTGCTATTTAAATTGTTTGTTTCAGTCATTCTAAGATGATGTGTAGACTATTCATAGCCACACTTTTGTATTAAATGCTAATTTTCTTTGCTATTAAAAGGGGAAATCCACGAGGTACATCCTCCATCAGTGGCTGCACCAGCAATTGTTGTGCACCTCTGTGAAGACCCTGAAGGATATGAACCCGGAAAACTGCGTCAGAAAATAATGCAGACAAAGAGGCCGGAAGGTGGCACCAGTTAAGTCTCACAACACTGGTGTTTGTATTTTTACTTGTTAAATTGATTACCCATAGATTCTTGGGGGATGAAATCCATTGTGAGCAAAATGAGTATGAATACAAAGTCCTTGTGTGCATTATGAAAACATGGATTGGATTTTCAGAAGATTCTTGAAATATTTTCCCATTATATTGCTAGCCATATCCACGTTTATCATGTTGGATTTGTTCTAGATGCATGTAGAATAAATATATGGTGTCATGTTCAGTAAAAGGGGTTTTGAGTGCAATGATTGTAAGTTTAATTTTTTTATATTTGGACAATATAATTTGCTTCGATCATTGAAAAAAGCAGTACTCGCATTTGAATATTGTGTAAATATATGTCTTGTAGAGTGTAACGATAGTATTGCTTATTGAGCTAGCACAAGGTTGTAGCTTTTTAAAATTTTGTTTTAATAGCAGTATTGCCAATAAAAAAGAGTCAATGTGACATTCCAAAATGTTGATGGAGTATGATAAAATATTGTAAGAATATGATTCCGCATCATATAAATAAGGTTATTGTCAAATGTGTGTAATGCCACTAGAAATGGGTTATAAAAAAAACAATTAAAAGATGTTCATTTGTACTTTTTGAAGTGGTGATAATGTTAGTTAATTTCTTTTCTTTTTACATTGCCAAAAACACTGAGTTATTGGATTTTTTTTTTTTTGTAATCTAACATCTTTAAATGTGTTTATTAACCTTCCATCAGTGGGGGGAAAACCTTCACACTCAAGTTACCCTCTTTTTTTTTTTTTACAGCTGTTATAACTTAAATATATATAACTGTCAGATGAGAACTGAAGTCCCTATCTATCAATAAAGGCTGCCACCTTAAGATGCAGTGGTTTACCTCTAGTTAACATGTCTAATTTGGCAAGGGGTGTTCCAAAAGTTATTTGTCCCTGATAACTGTATGTGTAAACAATAAGTAAGTTTGAGGTTATTTGCTAGCAGAGTCACTGAATTGGTAAACCATGTTCAGTTTAGAATCTTGAGTTTCTGAGAATCTCATGTGCAGTTCTAAAGCTTTGATCCTGAGGGACTGCATCCAACAAAAACTTTTTTTTTATAGTTAATTTAACCTTTGACCTTACTATGAAACCTATTTGCATTCTTGAATTCTCTTGAAATTTGACTTACCATATCACAGATTTTTTGTTAAGTAGTATAATTTTTTTCTTAAATTTTAGTGCATTTTCAAACCCAAAAAAATTAAATCATTGAAAATAATTTTAATTTTGTTTAATTGTCTACATAAGTTACTAGATTGCTATAAAAAGTCTCACAAATTTTTAGGTATTTAGAATTTAAATATTTAATCACATTTTTTTTTTTTTTTAAATTCTATTTATCATTTTATGATACCATTTGTTAATAGTGTCGAAGATTTTATTAATGACTGATTTCTATTATATTTAAAAAAATATTCGATTGGGAAATCTCCAGAAAAGGAAACTTCAAAGATTTTTTTTCATGACACTTAAAGTTATCGACTGGAATCAAAATTAATAATTTTGTTTAAATACTAAGACAAAACTCCAGGATTAATTTATAAGTTTTGTTTTTAATTCCTAAGCTAGTATTTTTTATAGATTACTTTTAAATTCTTCCATATCAATTAACAAATCAATAACTAAAGTTGTTACATTATAGAATTTATTGTTTTTTTAATCTCCATTACAATCTCCACAGAAGCAATTACTTGGTTGCTCTTCCAAATAAATCAGAGTCAAGCAGTGTTGGATTAGCATTGTTCATAGTTATCCAATCAACATAGATCTGACCTGAAGTACAATGTTATTACCCTCATTGTTTATTTCAGATCTACCGTGCTAGATAAAAAAATCTATGGACCATAATAGTAATATTATATCCGTCATTGTCAACATAACCAAAAATTTATAACTGTTGATTTCAGATATTGTGTGCCTCATACATTGTGACTTATAACACAATATTAAAAAATTAATCTCTTTGATTAAAAAAAAATTACAAAACATTTTAGTTTCCATAAGATCACTGTATAATTATTACAAAAGATATACTCACTTGAAGAGAGCTATATGTACAGACTTTACATTGCATAGGGTTTTAACAGTAAAGAAAAGTAACATTGCATTTACAACAGTAAAATAATCATGCGATTATTTCATCTTGTTGCTTTTTAAACAAACATCTTTAATTTATTATATTTTGTATTTGGGCTTAAGAGGCACGTGACTGGAATATCCATGAGATGAATTTATTTATTTATTTAGAAGTATGTTTGCTTAAAGCCCTAACAAAAAGTTGTGTATTTAACATTACTGCAGAAATATATATCAGAGAGACAATACATTTTGATATTGGTATTCATGTTTGTGTTGTTTTATCAAATATGATTCCAAAAGCAATCAGATTTCGTATGACTAACTGTTGTTTAAAATTTGAATGTAATGAGTGACGAGCAGGTTTCAGGTTTAGCTGCGTAATTGCTAAGCTTATAAGTGGCATAGAATTATGATAGCTAAGCTGGCTTATTCTTGACTCAAAAACATGTAGGTAAATTTATAGTTAATACTATCTAGTCAATTGACAAATAATTGCAAGTCATGATACTTATAGAGCAAGTGCTGGTTATTATATATTTTTTTTAAATATGGTCTCACTATTATACTACAAGCTAAAAAGATTATACATGTGATAAGCCATGCAAATAAACCACAAATAATCTTATTACTTTATAAGACTATTCATGTTGAAAACATCTGAATTTATTTAGTTTATGTATAAAACGTAAGATGGAGAGGCAAATACAATCTTTTGTCTGATACATTGATATTTATGGAAGTGGTTTTCATTGCTTGTTTCAAAAAGTTGATTTCACTTAGTTAACATAAAACACCTACTAGAAGTGACATACTTTTTTATATTTTTTATCCTACATTTGCTTTTTCTTTTTCAAATTCTATATTCTGTGCAAACTGGATTTTCTAAATGCTTGATTACTTTAGATGTTTACAACAATTCATTTTGGGGTTATATACTCTATACATTTTACATAAAGTGGCCTGCTTTTTATCCATTGTGTGTTAATCTATCTTTTTTTTTTTTTTTTTTTTTTTTTTTTGTTTTTTTATTTTTTTTTTTTTTTTCTTCTTACTTTTTTTTTATTTTTTTTTTTTTTTTTTTTTTTTTTTTTTTTTTTTTTTTTTTTTTTGGATTACTGAATTCTTTCATTTATTACATCCTACATTTTATTTAAATTTATTAAAGTTTTGTTATATTGTGTTCTTAGTTCATTTTATTTGTTAAAATGGAATTTTTTGTTGTGAATTAATTTTCACCTTCAAGATTGTGTTTCTTGCTATAACTCTACACCTTTATTTGAATGTTTAGTAAATGTATTCAAAAATTTTAAAAACAAAATATTTCTTGGTTACTATTTATAAATTTTAAGTGTTCTTATATATGTTGTTGCACTACTTTTTGAGTAAAGTACATTTGAAAATTAAGCATCACGCATTTGAAAGAGATGGCTGAAATATTTTATTTTGAGTACCACAAAAAATGTGAAACACATATTTTAAAAATGAATGAAAGCAACCAACAATTAAAGAAAAGTACACATTTATATATTATATACTTTTTCCACTTAATATCTACTTAATTAACACTATTAGCTGTTTTGGAAAAATTGATGTTAAATCTGTTCAAAAATATTTGCAAATCAAAGAAAATCGGTTAAATCTAATATTGTAAAATTTAATGGTAGATTATGTATAAAATGGTATGTTTGTTTCCTGATGTGTATATCTATCATATTTTCAATGTACATACAATGCCATATTAAATAATCCCTCAAAGAAGAAAATGTGAATATGGTTTAATTTGGTCTGTTGAGAAAGTCTTACTTCACTTTTCAAAGATGATATATATTGAAACACTGCATATTGAAATATCCCAGACAAATATTAAACTAGGCCTGAACATGGTTACTTTAGCTTTGCACTGCATCCTAGTTTTTGCAATACTTCTCTTTAAAGAAATTACAATATTTTGGTTATTGGTATTATAAATGTATTTTATTGTGAATATTTTGCTTCTGCAGAATGTGATATTATACTTTTTAAATATTTATGTTATACATAATTATATTCCAATGGCAAAGTTGTTATTGTTCAATGTAAGCTTAGTAGGATAATTTAGCTGTTAGTTCGGTTTTTTCGCCAATCATGTTTTCCTTCTCCATTTTTATTTTTACAGACTTTTAAAAAGTGATTTTGTTTTTACATTTATTTATAAGGCTGTTTTGTTTTTTTGTTGTTTTTTTTGACATTTTAACCCATCAAATTATTTCAAATGTTTTTCCTTTAGTGTATATTCTCATTACAAATTACTAAGTAAGTGATTTGAAGAATAAAAAATATTTGTTTAAATTATATATATTTATTTTTTCCACAATGCCTCAAACAAAAAAGTAATAATTTTTCGGCCCGAAAAATTTTTTAAGGATATTTTGTTAAATAGTACACCACATAAATTTTTAATGAAGTTTAGTTCAAAGACATTTAAAGTTAATAGCTAATGAAACTGCACAACTGGATCATTTCTTTGTGTGAATTGATTTAAAATTATTATATTTTGAGAAAAATTTCAATGATAAAATATTTTTAATAAGGTAAAAGAAAAAGGTAAGTATGAAATATTAATTGTTCTCTATTTTCTTTTTAACAAATGCTCTAAATTGTAAAAGCGTACCAACACCATCCATTTTGTTTATTTATTTTTAAGTTTAAAAAGTAATTAATTATCTTTCTCTGTTTTCAAGAATATGTTAATGCTCATAATAATTTTTATTCATTCATTATAAAATGCCATAATATTTACTTTTGATAAAAAAAACTTCTTTACTTAAATTTTTCATATGTTCATAAAGACTTGCTCTTTTTTTTTTTTTTTTTTTTTTTTTTTTTTTTTTTTTTTTTTTTTTTTTTTTTTTTTTTTTTTTTTTTTTTTTTTTTTTTTCACTTCTAACTGAAGCTGTTAAATTCTCAACAGGAATTAAAGTTTTTATTTCTTGTAACATACTTAATTAATTTATTGTTTTGTAATGATCATTTTCTGCTTTATTTCTTCATTCTTATTAAATGTATAAAATTGCATTTTTATCAATTAATTTTAACATTACAAGAAGACAGTTTAAGTCATAGTGACCTCATGTTTAATTATATTTTAAGATAGACTAAATGAAATAGAGTTACTCATCTAACCATTTTTATTGATCCAGAAATAACTTTTAAATATACAACAGTAAGAACTTAAATCATACAAATTATGGTTTAAAATCAATATTATTTCATCAGGAATTTAGGAACCCTAATATATGAAATTATTTTCACATCATTTAAAGAGGCTAAATCATCAAGAGATTTTTTTTAAGGTTCAAATAAACTTATTTAAAAATTACGATACCAAAAGTTAATTAAGTGATAATGAGATGTAAGTAAACTAAGAGTCATTGATGATCACATTGAATAATTTTTTTAAATACTTATATTGGTTTTTTTAACTTTTGGAAATAAAAATTCCATGTAAAAATAATTATTAAAATGCTGAGCTTAAAGTTTACTTTTATCTTACAGAAAGCTAATTAATAATCTTCTTTTTTTTTTTCAATTTTAAATTTGGACGGTTAGCACAGTAATGTACTGTGATAACTAATGAACTTATTGAGCTAACCAAGCCATTTAAAGATCTTAAAGTTGTAATGCTCCACATTAAAGCTCCATTAGTTAAATTATTTCTTTATGCACCTATTTTCATTAAATTCAGTTTTCTTTTCTGGTTTTTATTTTTGCTTCTCTCCACATTAATAAATGTTAGAGCCTAAAGGTGTATCAAAGAAATGTTTTAGTCTTTACATTATTGAATGTTTCTAAATGTTGAAACATTTTTAATGACTTGTTTGCTTTCTATCTGGTCAGTCTACATTAAAGTATTCTTAAGGTGCTGTCATAGATTTTCTTATAGTATGTATGTATCCATCTTCCTTTTTTTTTTTGCTGTATTTTGTTTACTAAAAGGATAATTAAATTAATGAGATTTCTGCATTTAGAAATATAATTTCTTTTTTTTTTTCTATCCTATTCCTTCGAATGTAAACTTGAAGGCATTACTTAAGTGTTGTCTTTATCATGTTTGTCACCAATTTTTTCCTGTATATCATTCTTAAATTGTTATTCTGTATAATAATTTGCAATTTCTACATATTTATGTGTACATCATTCTCCCATATTATACATTACCATGGAAAACACTATATTTATATACGTTTTTATATCATCTGATACTTCATCCCCTTTCATTTCTCTTTTTGTTGACTTGTTATTTATTGTCATTGAATATATTTCATTTGTTATCTTTTTAAATGTCAGTCACTGTTATAGAAATCTCACTTTGATAAAAAAAAAAATAAAAAAAAAACACACACTAAAGTATTTTCTTTTTTTTTTTTGGTGTCATTTCTTCTTCTTAATTATATTTATAATTTGGTCTCATTTTTTATATTTTCTTTATGTTGTTAGAATTTAATTTTTTTAAATTAAGACATATTTATGATAAAAAAAAAAATAAAAAAAAAACACACACTAAAGTATTTTCTTTTTTTTTTTTGGTGTCATTTCTGCTTCTCAATGATATTGATAATGTGGTCCCATTTTGTATATTCTCTTGATGTTGTCAGAATGTAATTCTTTTGAATTAAGACATATTTTATTTGGTCGTCAATAGTTAAGAGGCAGATGCCAAACATTATCTAATACATAGGTGAAAATGAAATATGATAGTAAATATTGAGAAGGAAAATAAATCTTTTTTTTTTTTTTTTGGTGTAAATTTTGCATGTCATGTAGCTCTGAGTCTGAGCATGGCCTGCAAATTAAAATAATTCTTTTGTCTGGAAATAATGGTGCAAAGCACTAAAACTAATCTCAATTCATTCCTTAACATTGGCCTTATTATTATTTCTATATTCTATATTTAAGGTTTTCATTTTCTGTGACATGGTTGAATTGTGTGTCTTTGTTCTTATCAGGCTTAATTTTTAGATTAAAAAAAAGCTCTCTGTCTACTAGAATTACAGGCCTCCTACACTATCTTCAGCCATCGTCGTCACCCCCCCACTTTCAAACCCCTCAAAAATTAAACATAATAAAAATAATAAATAACCTTCTTCTTATCATAAACACATTTTAAAAATACAAAAAAAAATTAGACTAGCTATAATTATTTGAAAAATGCGTCTCTGGTTATCAAAAACAACAAGAAATAATAAAAATGTTTTTTTTTATACTATTTTTTTATAAAATGTATTTTTCTTAGTTCAGAGGTTCTTAACCTTTTTTAATCTACGAACCCCTTTGCCAGTCTGATGAAATTCATGGACCCCTTTGCCTGGTAGTTACATGGACGGGGGAGTCTAAAAATAACGTTTTTAAATGCAAATATATATATATATATTTATATATAACGAAAATTCAGTTCACGGAATGCTGATACATACCTTGTCAAAATCATTAACATGGACCATAGAGTAAGAACCCTTGCGTTAGTTAAACCTTTCCTATTTTCTAAAGGCAAAGAAGTCTCCTTGCCACCGGAAATCGAAAGCGTCGTTAGTGTCAAGGAATGTTTGACGCTGGCTCAAGATCTCTGGAAGCGATATAGAAAATAAGAAACAGACTTTCTTATTTGTTCGAAATGTCGTGCAAAACACTACCTCTTCTTTTCATAAATCTTGGTGGTGAGATGCTGTACATATTAGATCAACGACTTTGTGCTCAAGGGATTCCTTCAGAAAAGTCGCAGAAAGGCAAGTGGAGCTGGAAGAGAATCCCGGTCCCGAGTGAAAGGGAATCGAGATGTTGAGAAATCTTATTTATTAATAATAATTAGGCTAATTATTTAGGCCTATATAAGTTAAAGTTAGTGTGATACAGATCTAATCTATTAACGGATGATCGATTTAAGTGTTAATCAAGACGTCTGTCCCATTAATTTTGAAAGTTATTAAATTTTTAAAAATTGATGATTAAAAACTGTGGGTAAAGATCAAAGGTAGTGTTGTAGCGGAATGGGTTTGCCGAGAGTTGTTTCATCTTAAGTGCATTGACAACACTTAGGGGAATCCCAACACTGGACTTTTGCATAGACCAATGGTTGGTCCTGATCTATGACATGTGTAAGTGTATGATACTATGAGTATGAGTAGTATAATAACTTACCTATTCCTCACTGAGCATTTTTTGCCTAAATCTAACGCTAACAATCAATACAATTAATAAAAATAATACGAAATCTATTCATATGAAAATTCCCATTTATTTTAACTAAAATTCAACTTGCAAGATTCAAAACAAATTTGAAAAGAAGAAACTCATCCTCGCTGATAGCCCAATTTGAACACGGGAAAAAAAAGATGCATGCATTATTAAAAGTCCTGTCATTTGATTGGTTGAAAAAAGAAGTACCTCACCTTATGCAATTCATTTCTATCATGTTGCTATTTCACAGGAAATATCAACATAATTTTCTGGGGTGGGGAATCCCCACTTTCAAGACAAACAAAAAAAAAATGACCAAGAAAAATTAACAAAAAAACGTTTTGAAAATAGAGAGCTAAAAATCAAAATCTTTTGAATACTGCTCTATGGCTGGTAGTTAACCTGGGCAACCTCCATGACCTAAATACAGTATAAGTCATCGCCTGCCTTGCTGCTAACTAAAGCTTCGTTAAACCTTTGTGCTGTGGAGAATTTATTAATTTATGGAGACTATTTTTATAAATTTCTGCAAAATAGCCAATAGTACTACAATTGTAAGGGAATTAGTTCTATTTCTTTTTCTGTTAGTAAATTAGTAAAATAAATAAATTTCCAAAATAGTCCTTTGCCTATAGTTATAGCATCTATTTATAATAGATAGATGCTATAATAACTATAGGCAAAGGACTATAATCCAAAAAGAAAGCCTACCATCACCATATAATAATACTTACTGAGCTTCTTAAGTGGAGATTCTTTGAAATATTTTAGGGGAATAAATGTAGAACTTGGCTTATGCGCGGGCCGAGACCCATGCGAAGGCAACAAAATTCAAATTTAGATAGTACCTTAACTGTAAATTAAGCAATAAATCCCATATACTTCATAAAGCCAAGGGGCAAGAAATCTTTTTTTTTTTACTTGTCCACCCGGATGACATTTTTCTATATAAATGGGCTTCAATTTCAGGCTTGGCCCAGTAAGACAATTTTCCTTTGCATAGATTTTTAACATGTTCTTCAGGAAGCCTACATGGAATAATGAAATATGATATTGTATATTGCAGAGGCAGTACTATATGCTCTACAAGATTTTAATATCTAACCAGAAGCTTTAAATAGTAAATTTCTGCACTAACCTTAACTTGTTGGCTTATAAGTGGGTTAAACACTTTCAGACTTTCAAAATGTTAGGCCCTAATTTATATATTTTTTATTATTAGTGTAATTGTCCAGCCTGATAGTTATTATCATTAAATTTACAATACTAGAAAAAATATTTGTAAAATAAATGTAACCTCCTCATCCTCATGTCCCTTAGTCCTTGGACCATTGGGGCGCCACAGATGACATGTGAACCATCCTCCATTCCTCTCTGTCTTCAGCACTACGCACTGCATCGCCCAGTGTTAAACCTGTCCACTCTTTGATGTTATCCTCCCATCTTTTTCTTTGTCTTCCTCTTCTTCTCCCTCCTCTTGTGGTGCCCTGCAATATTTCTTTGGCAAGCTCTTGTTTCCTTGTTACGTGGCCATACCATTGTAGTTTGCGTTTTTTCACAGTCACCAGTAGGTCATCGTATTCCCCAATTGCCTGACGAACCCTTTCTTTCACTGTATCATTGGAGATGTGGTCCCTAAAGCAGATGCCAAAAATGCTTCTGAAGCATCTTATCTCCATCGCCTTTATTTTCCTTTCAAGATCGGCTGTTAATGTCCAGGATTCGCAGGCATACAGGAAGATGGAGAGGACTAATGAGCGCATCAGCCTCATTTTGGTGCTGGGGGCTATATTTTTGTAATTCCATATTTTCTTGAGCTTCTTTAGTGCTGTTGTAGTCTGCGCAATCCTGGACATCAGTTCGGGCTTGGAGCCTTCTTCTGAGACTATTGGTCCTAGGTATTTGAAGCGGCCTCCAGTCTTTAATCTTTCCTCCCCGACCTTAATTTCAGTGGTGATGCCTGTCGTATTATTTGTCATAATGTAACCACATAGTCCTAATTTCATTAATTTGTATTAGGCCTCAAAGCAAACCAATTTAAAGTCATTTCTTATGTTTTTTTAACTAAGCTCCATAATACTAGATTGTTATTAAGACTAATAATTGGGGTTATATTTTTTTCAGGAATCTACATAACAATATATATGTTACCTGATTCATGTTCCTTGTTAATATTATGTTAAATAACTTGTACATTATTTTCAAACTCGTAACTTAACTTGAAATGCTTTTTATCTTTCTTTCAAATTTAGTTCTCCATGACATTGTGAGCACTATGTTCAACAGACGATTTATAGATGAGGTATTTAAACCTCAAACCTTGTACTCCAAGAAAGCCATGCGTACAGTTTTTGATCGAATAGCTCATACATCAATCATGAGGTTAAATGCTGCCAGCATGGATAAGGTTAACAAAAACTATTTTTCTACGTCTTAAAGAGCAAAGTTGGTTGAGATTTATGTGCTTTAAAATATCCATTGATATAAAAAATTATTAAATATGGGATTTATTGCTTACAATAGATAGCAAATTTATTTTAAGCTAAACAATATATATACCTCATCAATTGTTTGTGAAATAAATAATAACCTATAATGAATAGTATGTAATGTAAGAATAAGAAAGATTTTTAATAATTAGTCTTTATTCACTGTTTGTCAATCATTTTTTAATTTAATGTATCTTTTTGTTATATGAACTTTATATATAAGTATCTTTAATTTATTTTTAGCTTTATGACCTCATGACTATGGCATTCAAATACCAAGTATCACTTGCCCTTCGACCAAAGGATCTTCTTCTCATTACTCTTAATCACATGAGTGCTATCAGGAAATATGTTGAAGAAAGCAATCCTGCCAGAACCCTAGTGGAATACACCTATAAATTGCTAATAGATGTAATCAGAATTAATCTTTATTTTATTTTGGCTTCTATCATATTTCTGACAATTAAAAAGGACTAACTATACAATTATTTAGTTTTGATTTGCTATATCAAGCTAGCATATACACGCGATGTACTATACATTAATTTTTATGAAGGAATTCTCCTTCTGTTAACCATTATCTTAATATCAAGGTGTTTCATGTATGGTGAAGAATGTGTTTACAAGCTCCCATCCAGATAATGCAAGACACCATAAAAAAAACAAATTATGTTGATCCCCAGTCAGGGTGGCAAACTCAATAAAATGAAATTTACATGCCGGTACAAAGATTTAAAATCTTCAAATTTTCAAAGACAAACACATTGTTACGGACAAACACATTGTTACAGATACAGACAAACACAATTATTTTGACAAAAACATTTTTACTATAAAGTTGTTGAAATTACAAAGTTTTAGAAAATGGCACATCATCATTTACTATATCTCTTTGTCTTTATGATTCTATTATCCCGCCTCTCTTTGTCTTTATGATTCTATTGCCCCGCCTCTCTTTGTCCTTATGATTCTATTACCCCGCCTCTCTTTGTCTTTATGATTCTATGAACCTACCTCTCTTTGTCTTTATGATTCTATTGCCCCGCCTCTCTTTGTCTTTATGATTCTATGACCCTGCCTCTCTTTGACTTGATGTTATTTAATCCATGAAGATTGAACTGATTTTATGTGGCTAGTTTTTCCATGGCATTATCCTCATTGTTTGATGTCTCCTGCTTATGAAGCTTAACATACAATGGACAATCTACCTTTTTACAGACTTTATGGACAAGTCGTTTTAAGGGAAATTTTAATGGGCTTTCAGTAAAGTACAGACATTTGGAATCCCTGTTCCTAGTTTCCACGTAACTATCCCATGCACATCACATATCTCCAGCATTACAACTACAAATAGCTTAAGTCAACTTTAAAAATAACTGTTAAAAAGTCATACATTGAAATGGAATTGTTGTTTTTTTTTAATTTAATTGAGGAAAATTGAATGTCTGGATTTCTTTGATCACCAGACGTATGCTTCCCTGTCACATGGTGAATTTCAACTAATTAGGCAAACACTGCTGAATTTTTTTCAAGACATGCACACAAGGGTAAGTCATTCTCATAAATATTAAATAAACAATTATTATCTAAATTAAGGTTTCCATACAGCCTAGTTTTGTAGCCTCAAATGCCCAGTTTGCTTATTAAAATTAGAGCAGAGAGGGGACAGGGATATTGAAAGATTCCTTTAATCTTTAAGTATAGAAGTTAATGTTAATTCTGTACGGTAAACCTCTTTCTATAGAAAGCTATATAAATGCACTTAAAGAAAATGAAATTGAATTACTGCAAATGGAAGCATTCATTAGGCAGTAAAATTATTTAAAACATTTCTTTGATGTCTGCTTTTTTAGTCACAATGATATGATAACCCTATATAAACTTCCTTATTTTGTTGTGTATTTGTTTTTTTACTTTTTATAAAAAACTGTTTCACTCAAACTTTTTAGGTTTCAATATTTCTTAAAGATAAAGTGCAAAACAACAATGGTCGGTTTATTCTGACACCAGGTGGAGTTTTACCATTTGGCACAGAGCCACCGGGTAACATTCGGTAAGCTGAGTGTGAAATTTGTGAAAATATTTCTAAACCATCAACTGTAATTTTACCTTTCCATCTATGTACAATTTTTTTTTAATTACTTATACAGACTTATTAGAAGTTAAATAAGCTGTAAAATTCAAACAATGTAGGCAGGAATATAGTTTAAAAATTCTTGCCTCAAAACTCATTCAGGAAACCTAATTGTGTTTTTTACTTTCTCACTCAACCTGGAGATTTCGGAAGACAGATAAATCAACTTTAACACTTATTTTGTACACCATGGGTTTGAACTCAATGATGTTTTATGTACTACTACTATGTAAGTCATATTAATGTCATCCACATATTTGTGAACTGAGTGAGAAATGTTGGAGAGGGTTTTGAGTAATAGTTCCGGTATTTAAAAATTTTGGGTAGCTTTGAGGATGAAGAACAAATAATAGCGAAAATTGCTCACTGTTCTTAAATATTTTACTCTAATTTCCAAATCAATTAATTTTCAGCTCTTATGATGAGAGCGGCAAGTTTCGCAATATTGGGTTCCAGGTTGTACCAAGTTATACGGCATCAACAAAGGAGGGTTCTTATGATATGCAGGGTGATACCTTGTGTTCACTTGGTAAAAATATGTAAGCTTTCCTCGTTTTTTTTGTCCCTTAAAAAGCTTAGTCTTGGAACTATGACATTAGTAGAGGGGGAAAGATAATGTAACTGGGATGTTTCCCTAACAACTCTACACAGTTTTTACGGAAAGGATAGTACATGACTCAGATGAATTGAAAGCACTTGTAGAAGCTCTATGCCCCAGGGATAGTAAAAGGCATAAGAAAGGAAGATTACACCGCAATGATTTCATAATAAAAAGAAATGGATCTAATAATTAAAATGCAGATATAATTATACTATGTAATTTGGGGAAACAAAATTTAAAATATCTGAATAACATTTATTAGATACAGTTATTTAAAGGCTACTACAAGATATAAATGCCACTCAACAAGACTTGATTATTTTATTTGTTTTTAAATTGGTACCAATATATTTCTAAGAGTAAAATTAAATAAAAATCAGATTACAAAATGTATTTTTAAATGTGTTTTCTTGTTGATAAACTATTAATACTATTATTCCATAATCTGAAGGTATTCAGTGTCCAGACCTGTTGAAACAAGTGGAACAAGCACATCAGTTATTCAAGGCAGTGACTTGGTTGGTCTTTTATGAAATAATCCATTCAAATACCAATATGTAATGAATTTTATCCCTGCAAAATTTGTTCTTTTCAAAATTAATGTGAGAGAACGTGATCTTCCTTGGGAATTTTATGACATGAATTCTATGGTCTGAATTTTGACCTCAAATTAGTTTTTTATCATAGTATTTTTATACTATGAGTGAAAGAAAATATTTTTAATTCATAAGGAAAAGAGAAAAAGAGAGAAACAGTTAGCTAAGCTTTTCTCTTTGAACTAATAATACTTTTTATAACGTAGAACAAATATAGTATTTATGTAAAATAATTTATATTTGAATTATTTAGGCAGAAGCTCAGAATATTGTACTAAACAAAGAGATCATTGTAAGGAAATGGTAGGCAGTAACCTATTTATTTCTGTTTATTTTCAACCAAAAAATTAAATAATATAAATATGATACTTTGTTTCTTTTTTGTATTATTCAGACAAAGAGAAGCTTTTGAGTTTATTTCATATTTAATTTTCAGGACACTAGTAACCCTGATCCCCTAGCAAAAGCTCATCTAGACCTGCTGTCTCAACTCATTGGTGCAAAAGTAACCAAGAATGAGTTTAGGCTTAATCTTTTCAAAACTGATCAAGAGGAAGAGTAAGTGAAACTTTCAACATTTCTATTCGATCATACACTTTATTATAATTATTAAATTCACGTGGCTTCCTTTATTCATGGGACAATTAGAGAAGGTCAAAAGGACACATTTTTTCATTCAATTTTGTACGGTTTTCACTGTAGGAGAAGTAACCTTTTGTGGCACTGTTGATTTCAGCAAATAGTTACATAACTGAAATTTTTGGGTCATCTTTTGAGAAAATCTCATTTTTTTAAAAAAAAACGTGTGACCTTTTTCACGGCTTCCTTCCATATGTCTCTCAGATAACAGGAAAACATGCAGTGGCATCCCTAGGGTTTGTGTCTCACATGGTAGGCCAATATTCCCCCACAACTACCAAAGAAAAACTCTGGTGTTGGCAGAAAATGGCAGCCCTAAAAATATGGAACAAATGCGACTCTCTTTATAAATATATTTTCTTTACTATTTTTTTAGGGAGGCTGCTGCCCCAATCCAACCTATTGAGACTTCTCATTCTCAAGTTATTAATATTGATGCTTCAAAAAAGGTCAAAAGTATTGAATTAACTAAAATTTTTGGAGAAATGACAGTTGATGTTGGGAGTAAGGGAGATGACTCAGATCTGCTGGATTTAATGGATAGCTAAATCCTGAAAATTTATTAACCAGTATATTTTAAAGTAATAAAGTAAGTAATTTATATGTTGTGATATAAATGATTGTGATAAAAATAATTTATTATTTGTGTATTTTGTAATTTATGCTTTGCACTTTTGAATTTTAAACAAATATGCAAATATAAATGAAAAGAGGTAAATATTTATATAATAAATAGTTATTGTTACCCCAAGCTATGAACAAAATGTCAGGTAAGATGGACTTGTCAGAATAGCAAGACAGCATAGCAAGTCATCATGGCAAGTCTCTTTGAATGGACCTGTCAGCATGGCAAGTCAGCATTCTTTGAATGGACCTGTCAGTATGGCAAATCAGCATAGCAAGTCAGCATTCTTAGAATGGACTTGTCAGCATATCAAGTTAGCATTCTTGGAATGGAGTTGTTAGCACAGCAAGTCATCATTCTTGGAATGAGTCATCAGCATGTAAAGTCAGCATTCTTGGACTCTCAAGTCATCAAAGTTGGTAGATGAATGGCAGCTTACTTGGTTGTGAGATTAATTAGGCTGTATCTGCTTGACAAGCAAAATTTTAATTCTTTAAAGGGTAATTCCACTTGACCTGCATCATTTGAAAGCAATGAATTATGGAGAATTTTGAAAAATATTCTTTTAGCAGGTTCTTCACTTAATATTAATCCATTAAATGTTTATAGTCCATCAGGAATATACTGGTAAATTTGGAATATACCTAATAATATATTACCATGTGTAAATTATTATTGTGAGTAATTTTGGGGGGGGGGAAATACTACTCAAAAATAGGGTTAGCATCATGGGTGTGTTAGAATTTTTTTTTAACCAGTAAATGATGTATAATAATGTCTATGCAACAAAATATTCTTGGTCCACTCTCATTCCGTGACCAAGCACGCATGGTATCTCCACATAGTAACATCAATGTAAGTAGATTCCCTTTGATGGGCTATAAGTATCGGTATGACCACATTTTATTTTATTTGTATCTCTAGCTTCATTCACTATAGAAAAAAAATATTAATGACATCAAAGAAGCATATAAAACTATACCCAGATATGGAATAAGAGAGAGATCAAATATTTTTCAATTCTAATGAAAACAAATCTCAGATTTCATTTAAAATTTACATTTAAGTAATTTACTTGGGGATCTAAAGCTTTTCAGTTAGTAAAAAATTTATTTTCATTAAAATTAACTTTTTGTTTTGAAAATCAAATATTTCATACAAATTATTTACAATTCTGAATTGTATAGTTATCAAATATTAAATTATTTTAAACTTAACAGTCCAAATGAGTGAATGTTTAGCTATACTTTGGATTATACATTAAGGCATTTAAGGCAATAAGGCCCAATTGTAGCTGTTATTGTTAAATTTATTTAGAACGTGCATAGTTATCTGTTGTTTTTGGTGTTCTAGGAATTTTGCACCTGTAATATTAATTTCAATCCTGTATGGACAACTCATGAGATGCACATGTGCATGAACATAAATTTTGAGTGATTGGCTGCAAAATCAAGGATCATCCTGTCACAAACTCTAGCTGCGCCACTGATTGCCTAGACATGCATACATTTTTATGAATTCATCTCTTATTTGCATTTTTAAATAAATGTGCAGTCCAAACATTAGAAATTTAATTATCTCAATAATCACTGTGATTTAAATATTGTGGATGATAGAAATCATTATTATGAAATGTTTGATGCACTACTGTTTTTGTTTTTAATAAAGTTTGTTTAATTCTGTGTGTTGCCAAGTGTACAACTGATTATTTTAGTAGCAAGTTTGTCTTTTTCAGTATTTTTAGTAAAAAAAAACTAATTGTAATAAAGTTAAACTAGACATCCATGGCAATATCAACTCTGTCCAAAGTAAACTAGACATCCATGACAATATCATCTGTGTCCAAAGTAAACAAGACATCCATGAAAATATCAAATCTGTCCAGAGTTAACTAGACATCCATGGCAATATCAACTGGGTCCAGAGTTAACTAGACATCCATGGCAATATCAACTGGGTCCATAGTTAACTAGACATCCATGGCAATATCAACTGGGTTCAGAGTTAACTAGACATCCATGGCAATATCAACTGGGTCCAGAGTTAACTAGACATCCATGTCAATATCAACTGGGTCCAGAGTTAACTAGACATCCATGGCAATATCAACTGTGTACAGAGTTAATATGATTTTTTTTCTCACTTCTGAATTGTCTATCAAAATTTGTTTGAGTGTCTTCTGATAGATTTTAACTTTATTTTCCTGAGCTATTCAAGTACTGTCTAAATGTTTAAGTACTGTCTTAAATGATCAAGTACTGTCTAAATGTTCAATTATGGTCTAAATGTTCAAGTACTGTCTAAATGTTTAAGTACTGTCTATTTACTTATTTTTAAAAAAAAAAGAAAAAATTGATGCCTTTTACTTTTACCCTTCTGTCTTCCCACCAAAACACTTTACTTTTCGCTTCAGCACTAGGTACAGCTCAATGTCCTTTGCCTGCTGTCTGTGAGTGCTTGCTTCTCTGCTACCTTTACTTTTATGCTGATTTGTTGGAGGGATTTAATCTTACTCGACAATACCTGTCATTTTAGGGCTTAACTCTGGACAAAGTAGTGACCAAGATGGAAGTGCTAAGACTTTGTCTGCATGAAAAGCGACGTATCAAATAGCGGAGCATTCGTTTGTACAACAACACTTTTAACCTCCACCATACTCCATGATTCCCCACTTCAGAGTACCCCATGGGTGTAATCCACCCGTATATATTTATATAGAGAAACAAAATGGAGAATGTATTGTTACGGTATGGTAGATCTTGTACCGGCACACAGTTAGTACAATGTGGCAATTAATAATGTAAAATGACGAAATGTGAATAAACACATATATAAGAACATAAAGAATAATACACGTCTCGTAAAGTTAAAAATATCTATCTGAATCTGTCTCTATCTCCGTCCCTGTCAATCCTTTATACATGCAGCGTAAACACTGCCTTCCAGAAGCTACTCAGAATTTGTTTACGTTTCTAGAACAAATCGCGATCATTCCACAACAAACTAGGAGACATACTAACCATGTTTAGTTGGTAGCCGGTAGTCAACAAGATACATCAAAGAGATTTAACCACGCCCACAGGAAACGTTGCCGTCTGCTATGAGTCTAATGCGGGGTCAAAGAAAGTTCACGCACGGGGAAAAAGTGTACTACATAACAGTATGCACAAAACCATAAAAAATATGAATAAACATTGGTGAATTTGTCTATTACGGTATTTATAAGAACACTACTACACATACATCATAACAACATGCATAACATTGATATGAATTTATATTTTTATAAACAGACATACTTTATTTAGATATTTCATATTGTTCACAAATAGTAAGGGTAGCTCTTTGTTATTGGCAGATCACATTTGACACAAACAGTTTTGTTTTCCTGTCATTCTTTGCAGACAAATTCCACATAATTTCTTCTGTTTGGTCGAATGATTTGTATGTGCCTTTTATTGCAAAAGAAGGTGCACATACTTTAGTAATTGTAATACTTGTAGTGTGTCACATACTTCAGTAATTGTAGTACATGTAGTGTGTCACATACTTCAGTAACGCTGTAATGTGTTGTAGAGACTGTTCCATCACATTTCTCAAGGAATTACTTACATTTGGCCGCTGCATCTTCTGCTTGATGTTTGTTGTCATCGGGCTGCCTTGCTATCTCCATAATGAAACACTGTCTATTGTCAGCATTGCAATCACCATGATAAAACGTGCACTGTCTGTTGTCAGCTTTGCAATCACCAAGATAAAGCGTGCACTGTCTATTGTCAGCTTTCAAAAACCATGATAAAACGTGCACTGTCTTTCATCAGCTTTACAATCACCATGATAAAACGTGCACTGTCTATTGTCAGCATTGCAATCACCATGATAAAACGTGCACTGTCTTTTGTCAGCATTGCAATCACCATGATAAAACGTGCACTGTCTTTGTCAGCATTGCAATCACCATGATAAAACGTGCACTGTCTTTTGTCAGCATTGCAATCACCATGATAAAACGTGCACTGTCTTTTGTCAGCATTGCAATCACCATGATAAAACGTGCACTGTCTATTGTCAGCATTGCAATCACCATGATAAAACACTGTCTATTGTCAGCATTGCAATCACCATGATAAAACACTGCCTATTGTCAGCATTGCAATCACCATGATAAAACGTGCACTGTCTATTGTCAGCTTTGCAATCACCATGATAAAACGTGCACTGTCTATTGTAAGCATTGCAATCACCATGATAAAACGTGCACTGTCTATTGTCAGCATTGCAATCACCATGATAAAACACTGCCTATTGTCACAGTCAGCATAGTCCAGTTTGCTTTTCTGGTTGTGTCAGCGCCACCTTTTGTTTTTGATATAGTCAATTACGATCTCGGGCTTCAGTTTCTCGCCCAAAGATATTCAAACAACACAGTTGTTTTTTCCCTCTCACGTTACAAAATGTTTGGTGCACAAAACTGCCTGCACAAGACAGGAGTAATTTGAACATAAGTCATAACTTATAACACACAAGACAGGAGTCATTTGAACATAAGTCATAACTTATAACACACAAGACAGGAGTAATTTGAACATAAGTCATAACTTATAACACACAAGACAGGAGTAATTTGAACATAAGTCATAACTTATAACACACAAGACAGGAGTAATTTGAACATAAGTCATAACTTATAACACACAAGACAGGAGTAATTTGAACATAAGTCATAACTTATAACACACAAGACAGGAGTAATTTGAACATAAGTCATAACTTATAACACACAAGACAGGAGTAATTTGAACATAAGTCATAACTTATAACACACAAGACAGGAGTAATTTGAACATAAGTCATAACTTATAACACACAAGACAGGAGTAATTTGAACATAAGTCATAACTTATAACACACAAGACAGGAGTAATTTGAACATAAGTCATAACTTATAACACACAAGACAGGAGTAATTTGAACATAAGTCATAACTTATAACACACAAGACAGGAGTAATTTGAACATAAGTCATAACTTATAACACACAAGACAGGAGTAATTTGAACATAAGTCATAACTTATAACACACAAGACAGGAGTAATTTGAACATAAGTCATAACTTATAACACACAAGACAGGAGTAATTTGAACATAAGTCATAACTTATAACACACAAGACAGGAGTAATTTGAACATAAGTCATAACTTATAACACACAAGACAGGAGTAATTTGAACATAAGTCATAACTTATAACACACAAGACAGGAGTAATTTGAACATAAGTCATAACTTATAACACACAAGACAGGAGTAATTTGAACATAAGTCATAACTTATAACACACAAGACAGGAGTAATTTGAACATAAGTCATAACTTATAACACACAAGACAGGAGTAATTTGAACATAAGTCATAACTTATAACACACAAGACAGGAGTAATTTGAACATAAGTCATAACTTATAACACACAAGACAGGAGTAATTTGAACATAAGTCATAACTTATAACACACAAGACAGGAGTAATTTGAACATAAGTCATAACTTATAACACACAAGACAGGAGTAATTTGAACATAAGTCATAACTTATAACACACAAGACAGGAGTAATTTGAACATAAGTCATAACTTATAACACACAAGACAGGAGTAATTTGAACATAAGTCATAACTTATAACACACAAGACAGGAGTAATTTGAACATAAGTCATAACTTATAACACACAAGACAGGAGTAATTTGAACATAAGTCATAACTTATAACACACAAGACAGGAGTAATTTGAACATAAGTCATAACTTATAACACACAAGACAGGAGTAATTTGAACATAAGTCATAACTTATAACACACAAGACAGGAGTAATTTGAACATAAGTCATAACTTATAACACACAAGACAGGAGTAATTTGAACATAAGTCATAACTTATAACACACAAGACAGGAGTAATTTGAACATAAGTCATAACTTATAACACACAAGACAGGAGTAATTTGAACATAAGTCATAACTTATAACACACAAGACAGGAGTAATTTGAACATAAGTCATAACTTATAACACACAAGACAGGAGTAATTTGAACATAAGTCATAACTTATAACACACAAGACAGGAGTAATTTGAACATAAGTCATAACTTATAACACACAAGACAGGAGTAATTTGAACATAAGTCATAACTTATAACACACAAGACAGGAGTAATTTGAACATAAGTCATAACTTATAACACACAAGACAGGAGTAATTTGAACATAAGTCATAACTTATAACACACAAGACAGGAGTAATTTGAACATAAGTCATAACTTATAACACACAAGACAGGAGTAATTTGAACATAAGTCATAACTTATAACACACAAGACAGGAGTAATTTGAACATAAGTCATAACTTATAACACACAAGACAGGAGTAATTTGAACATAAGTCATAACTTATAACACACAAGACAGGAGTAATTTGAACATAAGTCATAACTTATAACACACAAGACAGGAGTAATTTGAATATAAGTCATAACTTATAACACACAAGACAGGAGTAATTTGAATATAAGTCATAACTTATAACACACAAGACAGGAGTAATTTGAACATAAGTCATAGCTTATAACACACAAGACAGGAGTAATTTGAATATAAG